GCTTTTGAAGAGACTGAGGAGTCACATGTCAATAGGCCTGCTTCGGAAGATTCAGGATGCTGAGAGGCTCAGATTCTGGCTGGGGGACCTTAGACTGAAGCATGTGAGTATGTTCCTCCATAAGCTAATTTCAGGCCTTTGATGAGCATGTGGGAATATAAAAACACACTTTGCACCAATACAATCAGTAACTATGACCGTATGGAGATAAGGGTTCCATGAATAACATTAGAACGATAGTAGCTTACAGCCACTGTACTGAGCATTTTGCATATTTATTCCACCAAATCCCCTCAAAAATTCCATACAGTAGATACTTTTAAATCCATACTGCACCAATGAGGAAACCACATTGGTAAATGAGGAACTCTTACATTTTGAAAAACTATGTATTTGAGGAAAGATGAAAGTAGCAGACAGAAGAAAGGGTAAAAATAGAAGGAGAGCAAATACAGAATTGGGGATTCCCAATATTTCCTTCGGACTGACCCCTGAAAGCTGTCAGCCTTTATCCCACTGAATTCCAGGTGCAGACAATCTGACATGCGGTCTGGTGAAGAAGCTTCCGGGTTCCTGGGAGACACTCAATGCTGCCCACACAAAATGCCTTGCAACCTTCTGCATTTGTGTACTGAGAATCTGCTGTGAACATGTGTTCTACCAGCACCAGCAATACATTAGTACCTAAATAAGGCAAGCAAAGTCCTTACTCCCAATTTACCTCTGGAAGGGTTAGGCCAGCAATTGGCCCAGGTTTTGTGATCCTCTAGCTTATCCAACTCGGGGGGGTGGGGGAGGAGTAGGACCTCTTTAAAGTAAAAATAGCAAAAGTTATTAATATAAAATTATTACAAAATTGAATATTAACTTAGAATGAAAAAACTGCAACAAACAAAACCTGGCAAATACCACAATATCAAAAAACAAAAACAAAACCTCACAACTCATTAAGTAGGGAAATTTAGAGAGGAAGGAGACTACAATCTTAACCAATTATGGTTAAAGTATTGTACTTCTGATATTCTCTCTCTCTCTCTCTCTCTCTCTCTCTCTCTCTCTCTCTCTCTCACACACACACACACACACACACACACACATACATACACACACACACACACACACACACACACACACACACACTATGTAGGATCCCATCTCGGGCTTTACTATAAATCTAGTTTATCCATGCTTTAGATGATGGTTCTCAAAAGAAGGGGAGGGTAGAATGTTGCCCACAGAGGACATCTGACAAATGATTGAAGACGTTCCTTTTTTGTTGTCATACCTGGAACGGGAGAGTGAAAAGCCTGCTGATGGCATCCAGTGGGCCATCATCTGTCCCACAATGTTAACAGTGCTGAGATTGAGAAACCCTGAGTTAGACAAAACAAACACAAGTACGGAAATCAATGAACACAATCATTCAAATAGAGATCAAGGCTGCAGAGGCATCAGATCACAAAGTGCACCTGGAAAGGGCCTGCTCCTCTGGATGGGAGGGCGGGGTGAGGAAGGTGTCACCTAGGCTACAGAAAAAGCTTTTGAGCGAAGATCTGAACAACACAGAAGAGCCGGGATGAAAAGATTTGGAGAAGAAGCACTCCAGGCAGAATGCAGGGTGAGTGCAAAGGCCTAACCTGCTGAGGAGCTTGATGTGTTGAGAAACAGCTCAGAGCAGTGCCAGTGGGTCCTTGTGAGCAAATGATGGAATCTCAAGGTGCAGAGCCCTGTAGACCAGGGTGAAGAGCATGAAGGGAAAGTGAAGTCATCTGACTTAAATTGTAGAAGGTTGTGCTGATGCTGTGTGGGAAATGGAGGGTAGAAGAGCAACAAAGAATTCATGGAAACAGATTAGCAGGCTACTGCCATGGTCCAGGCGAGTAATAATGGTAGCCAGGCCCAAGCGATGCTGATGGACATGAAAGTAACAAACAGAAAAGGGATTTACTTGGGAAATAGGGTTTGCTGAGGGATTAATATTCATTGTGAGAATGAATAAAGAGAAACTTAAAGAATAAAGAGCCCTTGCCCTAGCTGGTTTGGCTCAGTTAGGTAGAGTATTGGCCTGTTGACTGAAGGGTACCAGGATCGATTCCGGTCATGGGCACATGTCTAGGTTGTGTGCTACATTTCCTATAGGGGGCGTGCAGGAGGCAGCCAATCAATGATTCTCTTTCATCATTGATGTTTCTATCTCTCTCTCCCTTCCTCTCTGAAATCAATAAAAATATATATAAGAAAAATAAAGAGAGGCCATAGGTTTTGTGATTGAGCAACTGAGTAGATGTTCTTGCAATTTTTTGAGATTAAGAATAGAAATTTTGGAGTATGGCAAAACCTAAATTTTCTGTTTGGCCATTATACATTTAAAATGCCTTTTAGACATTCCAATGGAAATGTTACGGAGGCAGACAATTGGGTGGAGGACTCTGAATTCAATTTCCCAATTGAAAGAACATGGCAAGTGCCAATCCAATGAAAGAGAAATGACCCACACCAAGATTCATTACTATGAAGGCCCAGAAAACCAAGGATAAGAATCCTACAGGTTGCTGAGGGTTAGAGCAATGAAAAAAAAATTAGAAATCAAATGGAAACCAGAGAAAAATTTCAAATAAAAATTGTTTCCGACCCCAGAAACATATAAATCCTGAAAAAACATAAACTAAGAGTGAAATCATTTTTTAAAAAAGACATGTTATAATATGTATGGTCTCACAAAACAATGTACCTCCCAAATTTTTATCTTCTATGACAGGAACAATAGATAATATAAATGGGTAAAGAAAGGAACAGCAAGCATGTGCATTTTATGTAGAAACAGAAATAAACTCCAGGGGGAATAAAACACTATTCATTTAGAAATGATTTGCTCTTTGGGCTGAAACTCAGGTGAGGAAAGTGGCACAAGGGACAGCTACTTATCATTAAATCTCTCCAGTACTACTTAGTCATTTTTATGCTCATATTACACCAACAAATGTTTTTAATTTTTTTAAAAAGAAAGACTGACATGAATTTGTTATGTTTGTTATCACCCAACATGTGCCTTTCAATAATTTCACTGAATTTTGGACAAAATTAAGTTTTTAGTATTGGACTAAAACCATCCAGAAACAGGTGACACATACAGACTTGACTTCTCTGCCCGAGTTCCTGGGCATTTGTGCTACAGAAATTAGTCCCTGCTGAGGACTAAATGAGGGGCTTTTCTGAGACTCTAAATGTCACTCCCAGGCCTGTCATTCCAAGTTCTGTTAGAGATGGGCCTGTGTCACCTTTATTGTGACCCACGCTCTGCCTAGAATAGCATGACAACAGCAGAAACATTAGCTCTGTTCCCTAAATCATCCTGTGTTGAATTTCCATTCATAACCACTGAAGACTCACCGAGGTCTCCGTTATCTAGTGAGTGGACCACTGTTCTGCAACGCCTGAAAATTCTGATGTGGGGACTACTCATGTTTCTGCACCCACCACAGATGCAATCTCAAAAGAGAACAACACACATACTACTCTCTCACAGAAAGAGCACATCAGTTAACAAACGGTAAGAAGCCAACAGGAGTTATGCTCCAAAATGGACAGTTTGCTTTGAGTCACTGGGGTTCTGTGCCAGGTGAGGAGGTCGGGGGAGAAGGTCTGGACACAGGAATCTATTTCGTATCTAATCATAGATGGCATGTTCTTGTGTCACTTTACTGTCACCCGGTAGCCAGCAGAGGAGGAGGTGACAGTTTGTAAGATCCTGCCCAGGCAGAATTCCTCTTTCCCTTGCTCTTAAGAATCCTCTGAGAAAACTCACAGCTCCCATAGATATTAAAAACAGGCACTGTTTTGTCAGGTGCTCTCACAGGAGATGAGCTTTGTCCCTATGTCTTCCGGGAATAGATGGAAACCCTGTGGCTGCCATTGTCAGCTGTCAAAACAGAAGGGGAAATGAGCACAGGACTGGCTTGCCACTGCTGAAGGCTGAAAAGAGGCTGTGAAGATGGGGAAGAAACCCTTTGATCAGAGTAAAATTGAGAATTTTCACCATGCTTTGTACTCTCAATTTCTTCCCCTTCCTAGAAGGTTGTAATCAAATCACAATGATTATTTTATGAGATAACTTAAAACTAAGTAAGAGGGTTTAAAAAAAGACTAAAACAACTTACCATCATTATCGCTCTTATACTGCACAAAGACAGTATTATTATCACTAATTTATAGATAAGGAAACAGAACCAAGAGGTTAACTAAACTGCCTAGATGACATCTTCTAAGGGTAACTGGGGCATGGAACAGTCTCACTTGTGATGAATTCAGAATGCAACTTTATTTTTGTCTCCTTCTGCCCCTTTAAAATGTGTTCAGTTGGATGAAAAGTCAGGCAGGCTCAAGACTTTGTTGGTCACTCTGAAGAAAATAAAGTATCATAATCAATTCACAGTCACAATTTGGTAATCACATCTATTTATTTCCTCTGGCAAGAAACACAGAAAGAGGTCCTTAGTTTTTTCCTTTCCTGGTTCTTCTTTCACCTTCTCCCTAACCTATCTTCCACACCATGGCTGCTTCTAAGCCTCCTCTCGATCAAGGAAAGCAGGGGGCCATATAAGTCCTGCAAAAGAATTTGCCCTGCCAAGGCATTAAGGGCAGTTAATTAAATGTGTGAACAAATACAGCAGGCTAATTCAACGAATAGAAACAAATGGGTAAACAATGACTAAAATATAAAATCTGCAATAAAGTACTGTTTGGTAACTGAGCATGATGCAATATTGGTGTGCCATGCTGAGCATTAATGATACTTTAGATCATTCAGCTTCATTTTTCAGTAACCTAGGGAAATTATCTTTACAGCAAAATGCATAGTTTGGGATGTGTTTGCATAAAGATGGAGAGATAATATCTAAATCCAGGTGGAAATGGATAGCCAGAACCAGAGGACACGAAAAAAAAAAAAAAAAAAAAAGCATGAGAAAAATGAGGGGGGTTTTTTGTTTGTTTATTTTTAAAAAAATATGGAACGCTTCACAAATTTGCATGTCATCCTTGCGCAGGGGCCATGTTAATCTCTGTATCGTTCCCATTTTAGTATATGTGCTGCCGAAGAGAGCACAAGGAGTTTATTTTTAAATGCCAAGAAGATCATGGGAACCAAAAGGACAGGAGAAATGGGACAAGGAGAGAAAGATGAAAAAGTAATAGAGGAGGGATACCCTGACACTCATTGCAAGTCAACTCGCCATGAACCACAGGGCATTCACTCAAGAAGCAACGTGAAGGATTATTCTGAACCATCAACTAGATTTTGTGTGATAAACACAACATAATAGTAAGGTTTGATTTCTACTAGCAGATTGCTTATCAATTCAATAAACATTTACAGGTGTTTATTTAATAATAATTATTATTATTCATTAATTGTCTGTTAATATTAATTGCCAGAGATTGAAAGATGAATAGGACACAGTCCAGAGCTGACTTTAAAATATTCTCAGTTTGGTGGGGAAGACAAAACAAGACTATGTGCCTTGAGGGGTAAGGGCTAACAGAGAGCTATCATCCAGCATGGGTAGCATCAGAGCTGCATAAACTCAGATGCTGGTATGTGATCAGTTTCAGGATTAGTTTTCCAAAAGGAAAAATGAGGACCCATGTCTTCTAGGCAGAGGCATCTGCCAGGTTAGGAAGACTTGGGATGAAATTGTAGTGTGTCCAAAAGGCAGAAGTCTGGAGGTGTGGTAGGTACAGGTAGGGGCGATGGGTGGAAGTGAGAAATGTTAGGATAGATATGAAGGTATGTAGGGACTAGACCAGGGGTGGGCAAACTTTTTGACTCGAGGGCCACAATGGGTTCTTAAACTGGACCAGAGGGCCGGAACAAAAGCATGGATGGAGTGTTTTGTGAACTAATATAAATTCAAAGTAAACATCATTACATAAAAGGGTACGGTCTTTTTTTTTTTTTAGTTTTATTCATTTCAAACGGGCCGGATCCGGCCCGCGGGCCGTAGTTTGCCCACGGCTGGACTAGAACATGATGGAGCCAAAGGCTTGGTTTTATCCTGAAGTTTCTTGGGATTCCTGAAAGATGTCTGAGGAATCAAGCCAATGGTATAATGAGATTTCCTCTTAGAAAAGAAAAAATGACCTGGCAAGAAAATGAAGTGAACTATAGGAAACAGATAAAAGTGGAGTGGGGAATAATCAGGAGGCCTTGTCAATAGTTAATTAAAAGAGATGAGATAAAAGTCCAGCTGTGATAGAAATAATCTAAATATGCTCACACACACACAAAAAAAGACATGTTTATTCAAGCCAGGGTTTATGGTCATTTCCTAACAGTTAAGTGTCAGGCTTTCCATTGGGATGATAACCCTTTATTTCCCCATTGTTTCTATGGACACATCTGATTCAACTTGCATCATTTTTACCTTTAGAGTTAGTATCAGGAATGAACTGCTTGGAACATGAGGACAACCTAAACCAATGATCTGTTTCATGGAAACCAGGAAGCCTCAATTACATCTTGAGCTCCTCCAGCTATAAGAGTACAAGAGCTTACCATCCCAGGTACTCACTGAAATAATTACACACTCACGGATTTACTTCAAGGAAAAGAGAAGTGAAGCCAGAAGGTTCACAATGACTGTTAAATATTTAGGTATATGTATTAACTATTGATTGTTTTCATAAAAAGTAAGTTTGCATTTTTATAAGGTGGGACCACTCAAAATTGACAAACAGAAAAGTTTATAATAAATATATATAAATAATTAAAGTAAATTCAAAATTTTTAACTCATTCATTAAATCAGAGTCATTTAGGAACACTACAAGGCATTAAAAATGACAGAATTAGGTCTCCACATGTTAACATAGACCGCTCTTAAAAATATAAATGTAAATATATATCTATATATAAAAGCCTAATATGCAAATTGTCCCCTCAGGAGTTTGACTGGGAGGCCAGGAGTTCGATTGCTCGCTATAACGTGCACTGACCACCAGGAGGTGGTGTGGAAGAAGGAAGGCCCTGGCCAGCAGCCAGAAGGCCCTGATCAGCCCTGATCATGGGCCAGGCCTAGTGACCCTACCCATGCAAGAATTTTGTGCACCAGGCCTCTAGTATATATACAAATGTAGTCTGGAAAACACAAATTTCAGACAATATGATGACATTTATGTAAAGGTTAAAAGCATACAAAATAGTTGTATACATTGTCCATGAAAAAAATATGTATATAGTAAAAATAACACAACATAGCTAGAAAAGATACACACAACTTTAAAGGGAGTAATTCTTGCTGCAGATAGGGGGTTGTGAAAGAATACAGAGCAGTCTTTTAACTGTATTTTAAGGTTTTATTTCTTTAAAATAAATCTGAAACAAAAAAATAAGTGCTATACTACAAATTCAATTGTTTGCAGGTTATTTCAGAATTAAACAAATCAGAGCAAACCTGACCTATATTAATTAACCTATATTAACCTCATCACTCCAGTATTTATCTCATTACATTATGTGAACTATGAAGCTATAAAGTTTTTAACTTATATGACACAAAAATCTATCAACCATTAACACATGATTAAGTAAAATTAAAGCCACAGATTATCTTTTTAATATAAAATTTAATTAACTAATGACTTGGTCAAATAAGATAAAACTTTACAATGAGTCTCTTAGGGAATAGTCTCTTGTTACAGGGATGAAATTGAGAATAAAGTTAAACTGTTAAGAGCTTCCTTAAAGACATAACTGAATCTTTTCACTCATTCCCAGGAAAAGTCTAATATTTGTACCTGTGCCTCTTTTCATTTTGTTTTAAGTCCAGCTCTGTTTTATTTTATTTTATTTTATTTTTATTGTTTAAAGTATTACATATAGTCATACATATGTCTCCTTTATTTTTCCCCATTGACCTTCTCCCGGCCTCCCCTACCCCCCGACACATGCCCTCACCCCACCCCCCAGTGTCTTGTGTCCATTGGTTATGCTTATATGCATACATACAACTCCTTCAGTTGATCTCTTACCTACCCCCCCCAATACTCCCCAGCCTTCCCACTGTAAAGGTCCAGCTCTATTTTAAAAATGGAGGGGCTGGGAGAGATGAAGGCTGAGAAAGGGAGGGACAAGGAGGAGAGACAAGAGAAGGAAAGAGGAGAAGAGGGGAGGGGAAGGCAAGGAAGGTCAGGACAAGGGACAGCAGAAAGAGAAGGAAGGGAAGGAAGTAGGAAGTGGAGCCTGGACTGGAGATTTCCTTACCAGATAAAGGGTGACACAGTGCACCAGATCCTTGATTAAAAGACATGCACAGGGCCCCACTGGCATGGCTCAGTGGCTGAGCATCAACCTATGAATGAGGAGGTCACAGTTTGATTCCTGGTCGGTGCATATGCCCAGGTTGCAGGCTCGATCCCCAGTGCAGGGCATGCAGGAGGCAGCTGATCAATGATTCTCTCTCATTATTGATCTCTCCCTCTCCCTTCCTCTCTGAAATCAATAAAAATATATATATTTTAAAAAGACATGCACATGGGTTAACAAACCTAGGTCATTATATGATGTGATGAAGGTGTTGGCTAAGGCTATGACAGTCATCATTTCACAATCTGTATATAAGTGTATCAAATCAACACATTGTACACTGTAAACTTATACAATGTGATATGTTACTTATATCTCAATAAATCTGGATGAAAATAAATTAATAAATAAATTAAGGCAATGCATTGTCCATTAGTGATTGCTAGATTGCTATGCAGTACAAGCCTGATCAAAGAATGGTGCAAGTCATCTTTATATCATCCATATTTTCTCTCATTTCCCCCACAATACTTAGTAAAGCACACTCCAAATGGTAGACTAATATTAGCGGAATCTCCAATTAAACAAAACTACTTACTCTTTTATACACACTACTAGTATGACACAATTTTCAGCTACTCACTGTAGGATAACTGAAATCTCCATGATAAAACCATGAACTACCCTAGATTGAAGTATCCTAATGAATTTTAAAGCATTCTACTTTTATTTTTCTTTCAAGACAGAACTCTCAAAGCACTTGCAGAATTGAATAGGCTTTTATTTATTTGCTTTTATTTATTTGCTTTGTCATGTGGCTGGGTGAAATGTGAATTTTGAGTGGGAGATTTCATTGATTTCTGTCAAGCTGGACAACAATTTGTAGACTAGTCTATCCTTTCAGGAAGGTAAAAAACCTCCTTTTTCAGGATGATATAGGATAAATATTACCCTACATTGACTTTTAAATATGATAAGATGTATATCTCAGAATTCAAGCCATATGGCTTAGACCACTAGTGATACAGCTAGTACAAACCAAGGAAATAAAAGGAACTCTCGCTTATTGGCTATTTCTAGGTAACTTGGGAGCCATAGGATGCCATCAACCAACTTCAAGCAATAGCTTTGGTTCACAAATGATCACCTGGAATTCCAGGTGGCACATTTCCAAAGACAATCGCTGGGAGGCAGGACCTGACAAGGAGCAGCCAACTGAGGAATGGAAGGCGCCCAGCAGAATGGAGGAGTCATAGGCCCATTTTAGACTCAGGTTTAGAAACCAGTTCTTTCAATCAAAGAATACAAGAAGTACAATTCAGAGAGGCAAATTCAAAGATAATCTACTATTAGAAGATGCTTATTACAATGTTTTAGGATTGAATTAATTAAGTAAAGAGGGATAGGATTCCTGGGCACTGTGGAAAGATTCTCAAAAATAGATTCAGGTTGTCCAATATTACATTAACCTCAGCAGAAGGGCCTTATCAGGAGTGCCAACCCCTTGACTCAGGCTAAGTCAGGCCTGGGCTCAGTGTCCAAAGCCCAAGCTGGACAAGTGGTTCTAGCCAAAGCTTTGAGTGCTTATTTCTGAAGGCGTCACTTGAACCAGGTGACAACGTATAGTCATGTGGAGAGCTATGCACAGTGTGGCTGTTCCTAGTGTGTCCATTAAAAACAAAACATCCTGTTCTCTTTCTCAACCAAAGAAAAATAGAAAATCTGAAATGCAATTGGGGTCGGGACATACACTTTGCTGGAAATAATGCTTCAAGCTCAGCAAAGCAGCAGTAAAAAAGTTTTCAGAATAATGTTCCTCCCTATATAACTCATCACTGGAAAACTGCAGATTGCTCATTTTTCTAGTTTTCTATATTTATTATAGAAGAAGCCAGTGGCAAGATACCTAGAGTCTCTTAAAACCCTTGAAAAAGGAAAGCAGACAGAAAGGTTCATCAGAAGAGTCACAGAGGGTGTTTCAGGGGGTTGACCCCCCACCAAAGGATAGCCCAGACTTCTCTAAGAATACACAGAGTTCAAAAAAGAACGAAAAAGAAAAGGATTCTGAAGAAATTTTAGCTTCCAATGTTTTTTTCTAGGTCAAAGTATCTATGAAGATGCTGACTATAGTTAATAATACTGTACTGTGTATTTGAAAGTTGCTAAGAAAGTAGATTTTAAAAGTTCTCATCACAAGAAAAAAATTTATAGCTATGTTTGGTGACAGATGTCAATTAGATTTATTGTGATTGTCATTTCACAATACATATGTGTATCAAATCTTTATGCTGTACACCTGAAACTAATATAATGTTTATGCCAATTATATCTCAAATATATATCCTATCTAATAATTGACAAACATGGTAATTAACCATACCTCCACTATGCTTCCCATTGGCTAATCAGGGTGATATGCAAATTCACTGCCAACCAAGATGGCGGCCGGCAGCCAGGTAGCTGAAGCGAACATGAGGCTTGCTTGCTCCAATGATGGAGGAAGCCAAGGTTCCCTGCCTGCTGCGGCCCAGCTCTGAGCTCCAGATGCCACAATGTTGCAATTATAGAAGCTAAACAAACCCAGAAACCTGCTTTCAGCTGCCAGCAGGCTCAGAGCTTAGAGCACCAGTGATGGCAACAGAGTTTCAATTATAGAAGCTAAACAAACCCAGATACCTGCTTTCAGCCGGCCTAAGCCTCAAGCTGGAGCCAGCTCTCAGCCGGCTCTCAGCTCCAGTGATAGCTATAGAAGGTAAATAAACCCCAGAATAAAAAAAAAACAAAAAAAAAAAACAGGCTGGGAGTTTCAGTTGCCTGCCAGCCTGAAAACGGCCCTCAGCCCCTCGCCCAGCCTGGCAAGGAACCCCAGTGGGGACCCCCACCCTGAAGGGGGTGTGACCATCTGCAAACAGCCATCAGTCCCTCATCCAGGCTGGCCAAGCACCCAAGCGGGACCCACACCCTGATCCGGATCACCCTTCAGGGCAAACCAGCCGGACCCCACCCGTGAACCAGGCCTCTATCCTATATAGTAAAAGGGTAATATGCAAACTGACCCTAACAGCAGGACTGGGAATGACTGGTCACTATGACACACACTGACCACCAGGGAGCAGACGCTCAATGCAGGAGCTGCCCTCTGGTGGTCAGTGCGCTCTCACAGGGGGGAGCTCTGCTCAACCACAAGCCAGGCTGATGGCTGCCAGTACAGCGGTGGTGGTGGGAGCCTCTCCTGCCTCCTCAGCAGCGCTAAGGATGTCCGACTACAGCTTAGGTCTGCTCCCTGCTGGCACGTAGGCATCCCCAGAGGGCTGCCGGGCTGCCAGAGGGATGTCTTATTGCCAGCTTAGGCCCAATCCCCTGGAGAGCAGGCTTAAGCCAGCAGATGGTCATCCCCCGAGGGGTCCCAGACTGCGAGAGGGCACAGGCCGGGCTGAGGGACCCTCCCCCACCCCCACCTGAGTGCACAAATTTTTGTGCACTGGGCCTCTAGTATATATATAATCTGTGATGACGTATTCATGGCAACTTGTTTATGACTGATACATTTTCTGTGCAGAAGCATTCTTTTCTCTTACCCTCTCTATAAACTTGCAAGGAGAGAGTTTTGAGTCATCATCTTTATTAGACACTAATTTTATGTGCATTTCCTGGCTCCTGGACCCTCCTTAGAGCTGAGCTGTCTTTTGTTCTTAGTTACCACCAATAGCCTGGCCATCAGTCTTAGTTGAGGTGTGTGGCTCCTTCCTATACTTCTGGAATTCAAATTTCATGGCTCAGGTTAGGCCAACTGGTGATATACTGCTTGTACAAACAAGGAAATGACTAGAACACCACCCTACAGAATTTGATATCTTTAATGACCACAAGCAAAGCTGAATGACATAACCTAAAAATACAAAGAATTTATCTCTCTGTGGAATGAACTTTGAGCAACAGTGAACAGGAAACAGGAGGGACCCGAACAGGAAGCACTCCACCATGGATGGCTCTGTCCATATAGGTTTCTTTGTCCTCCCTGTGCTGAGGGGACAGCTGCACCCATGGTCCTAGCTGTGTCTTTTCACAGCTCTGTGATGCAACAGCTGGTTTGGTAAGACAAAAAAAAAAACCACACCTGTGCTTACCTTTTACCTCACACTCACCACCTTGGGGTTGCATCTCCCCAGTAATGCAGTAGTACTTTACCTTAGATTCTATTTCTAAGAAACCAAGGAGTAAGAATAAATTTAGGACATTTCACCTAAACTTGACTGTTAAGTTAGATCATTCATCCAAATTTTAGACTTAAAATATAACTAAGAGTAAAGTAAAATTAAATGTGGCTGGTCTTTGGGGAAATACGGTGATACATGCAAGCTCACTAATTTTAAATTAAGAAAATATCCTTGAAAATTTTTATAATTCAATATCCTCCTTCAAGCACTCCAAATAGTGTTAATAAAAATGTTACTCTAAATAAAGCAGACATGGCTAAAATCAAAGATCTATGAAACTCTGGGGTGAACAACCAAAAAATTGTCAAAGATTATCACTTATCTCTTCATCCACCTTATGAAAATAAATATAGTGTAGATGACAAGTAAATTCCCACCACAGTGAACTTCATGTACTAGACAAATTTATTTCTTGTGGCTCAGAACTTACACATTTCCCAAGTGGCTGAAATTCATATCCTCAGGAAGCTGGAAATGAAATCACTGTGTCCAAACTCTCTAAAATGAAATTAGCAAATGTAAACAACTGCTCTAAAGACATTTTAAAAAAATGAAAGACCACATGAATTCTCCAAACAAGTAACTCTTTGCATAATTTTCTTTTGAAGGGTGATCAGGATATTTGAGAAAGAAGGGGATGGTGAGAATCAGGTGTGCAGTCAGTTGGGCCCAGGGGTTCAGAGATGACTAAGATGTAGTCCCTGCTTCTGGTAAAAGAAGAGACATGGCCAAAAGTCGTGGGAGAGTCATAAATTTCATGTCACAGAAGCACAGGTGACAGTTGCTGATTCCACCTAGAGGAGTTCAGAGATACTAGTAGATGAACTCATTAACATGCTACTGTTAACTGATATATGAATTGGTTTAAAGAGAGAAGGTCATAGGTTTCATTTGGGACATGCTGAATTTGAGGGAAAATATCCAGGATGGGATGGTCTGCAGACTAATGGAAAAGCAGGCCTGAGTTCAGGAACCCTTCTAGTCTACAGAAGATATGAGCTTCAGGTTGTAGTTTAATACACAGAATGACAGGGTCCACTGAGTTCGTGCTGGGAAAAGAGAGAGGTGGATTGAGAGAAGATAAGTCCAATTTTGGAATCCCTGGGCACACAGATATTGAGGGTGAAAAGGGAATCAGAGAAAGAAAACAAGAAAGAAGAGTAAAAAATCAAATGCATGTCTTTAATGAGAGTTGGAAAGTTTCCAAGAGGAAGACTGTGCCCAGCAGTTTTCAATGCTACTAAACCGCCAACAGAAATTACCGAGAAAGGTCAGCACTGTGTTGGGCAGCTAGCAGGTCCTGGGGAGAGGACTTCCTTAGAGAAGGATTGACAGGACCACACCAAAGCGTCTGAAGATAGGAAGTCAGATAAGGAAGTAGAAATGGTGGGGAGACACTGGCACCCAGCACTGACACCACATCATCAATTGGGTCAAAAATAGCAAATTGTATAAAACACCATTGTGGTTTTGGGGTACAGCTTGTCACAGCTCATTCTGGGGTCGACATCATCAATATGTACCTGGTCCCATCTGCTGTGTGATGCTTGTTGGTGACATTTGTTGGTTCCGACATGAACATCTCAAGGGAACCATTGCGGACTCTGGGGTTAGCTGGGATTTACACACATAGTTAGCTCTTATTTCATAAGCTGGACTCACTTTCTGCCTCTAGTTTCCCAGGAGAGTTGTCTGCTATTCTCTGTTTTGCCTTGAATTTCCTCCTGATGCCCCATCCAGAAGTTAAAAACTTTAACTACACCACACTGTCCCTCCCCACAGCCCAAAGCCCACTCATCTTACTGCATGATGATGAGATAGTCACTGACTCCATGCATGGCAGCTAGAGGAGGGGCACGGGTGTTTTTCTGGGCAGAACAAAGAAGGAGTAACAACTTAAACACAGGTCTTTATTCTTTGTTTTCATCTCAGTTACTTTTCAATTTTATTATTCTCATGTCTCTCACTTATCATATAATGGCCTATAATCAGGTACCTTGATATAGAGAGTAACTATTGCTTGGATAGAAAAGAGACTTCATACATTACGAGATTATTCTTGTACAGAAACTGTGCCCGTCATGTGTCTTTTGCTTTCAAATCCATTTCCCCCTCTTCCTCTACGGCAGTGATTTTCAACCTTTTTCATCTCCTGGCACACATAGACTAATTACTAAAATTCTGCAGCACACCAAAAAATATATTTGTTGCTATCTGACAAAAAAAAAAGTATAATTTTGATTCATTCGCAATGAATGGCTATTGCTGTGTTGGCTGTTGTGGTTTTTTATTTGACATCCTCCCATCGTCTCTCCAGCCTTGTGTGTGAGCACAGTTGCCTATTGGTCTTCTCAGATCTTCCATTATCCAGGGACATATTCCCTGAATTCAACTCTGTCTGCTGAAAGATCTATAGTGGTTTCTGTCTTCCAAGTGACTGGACCATAAGAGAAACCATCTTAACCAGATCTTGGAATCACAGTTCTATGGAGATTGCTAGTAAAGACAGTCAAAGGTTTTTCTATATCAGCCTTCATTATCACACTTCCCTACCCAACCCTCATCCAAAAGTGACAGTTAATAATGTTCTTCCAAACCATATAATTACAACATATTTAAAAGCAGGAAAATATGAACACAAGGAAAAGTGATGCCTTGAAGAATGAAAATGCTGTGGTCAGGGCTCTGGAACAATGAGGGCTGATGGTCCAAGATGGCAAATTAGTTGAAGAAAAGGCGGGCATATTGGAGGTAAGAACTATCAGAAAAGGCAGGGATGTCAAAATGAGATGCTTAGAAAGGTGTGCTGAACAAAATCAAAGCCAGGGGGGGGTCGGTCTGCTTACTAACGTTAAAGTTTGGATTAGGGAAGTATGGGCTCCAGAGACAGAGAAGAGGAAAGAAAAGAACTGTACTAGGAAATGAAGGGGAAGGGGAAGTTTTTAATTCAAGAGAATCAACAAGTATACCAAACAGTTTAAATCTCTGCTGACACAATCGGGCAAGTAAAGCCTACACATCACAACTTCTCTTATGGGTTAAGGATTACAGTGCTGTGTTTTCCATAGTAGGTTCACCTGGAGTGAACCAGCTGAAACACCAATGAAGCCTTAATAAAATAAAATAAAATAAAATAAAATAAAATAAAATAAAATAAAATAAAATAAAATAAAAGCAAATTCCTGGACCTAGAATTATTGAAACAGACTGCCTAGGGATGACTCTTTCATATCTGATCTTTAAAGTGCTCCCACTCCAAGTATGAGAGCCTCAGTTGAGGAGGTACCTGACAGCCCTTGTAGGTAGGACAAATGCTGGCATAGTTGAATGATCTGGTCCAAGAGTAGAGGAATACTTCTTTAAGAAACGTAAGGAAATTTGCCTTGTATCAGAGATCCCAAGATTTAGAAGAAACATTTCCAGCTTTTGGATACTCTGGACAGTGACAATGGAGAGTGGTTTCCAACAGACCCCAGTAAGCCTTCTGTGTGCATTTCCCTTGGGAAGACCCTGTCTCATCTTAGACCAGAAGGAGACTTTTCTATGTATGCACATTTTACCATTTAGGATGTAAATGTCCATCTGGACCTCCCCACCCTCTTTTCTTTTTCCTGCATTTATTGTTTGGTCCTGAAGTAATTTTAACCAACTTTACTCACTATAGCAATTTCTTTTTAATTCACATTGGGAAGGTTCTGGGACATTAAACAAAACACAACAAAACCGACTCTTTTAAAAATATTGTTTTATAGAGCTATTTGCTGCATTTATTTTACTCACAGCATGATGATTACTTCTCCAGGCTTCTTTTTTCCTTCTTGTTTAGAGACAACTAGATAAGTAATTTTTTAGGAGACAGTCACAGGCACCCATTAACTAGTGCCTAGCCCATTTCAGGAAGCTTCAAGACTATTTGTAATACCACTGAAAAGATTTTCAATAACTGGCGCATTTCGAAATGGAAATTGGTCTGCATGTTAAATGTTAAAAGCAATTTTGTTTGGAAATATTAGTGTAGTCTACAAAGAAACATCAAATCATACAGCACTATATATGTCTGACAAAATTGTGAGCACAACAGTCATTTTCTCTGCCCTCATAAGCTGTAATCCAATGAGACAATCAAATGTTAAGCAAATAGTTACACAAAAGAATAAAATTTTAAAGTAGATATAAATAAGAGAGCATCTGTCAGGGGATTTGACTTAGTGGGGGTGGGGGATCAAAGGAGGGGCTTCAGTGTCTTTCAGACATCCAAGGAGAAAGTTAGGGTTAGATGGTTAAAATAAAATATTGATTGTGGTTAATAAACCGATTATAGGCTAAATCTATCTGATTAACAGTGGTTTCCTTCATACCATCTTTTGAGATAGCCTAGATGAAATTTACTCTTTTAAGTAATAATTATTAAGCATGGGGGAAAATCATAGTATGCATGTGGTTTTCACTGGCCTGGGCTTCAGGCTAATCGAAGGGGTAGGGTGGAAATGCTTGGAGAATTAAATAAAAACCCCATGTAATTTAACGTCAAAATGAGTACTGATGCAGGATGGATGTAGGAGTCAGGAAAAAAAGGTCAGGGCCTCCACACATGGAGTTAGGAAAGAAGGAAGAGGAGGAGGAAAGGAAGAGAAAAAGCATTCTGGTAGGGTACAACTATACCAAAGCAAATGTCAGCAAAGGAAGAAGGATGATCCTGGCGAGTACAGGGCTATGAACAGAGTAGAAAGGAAGTCATTCAGGTTAGAGAGTCAATAAAGATATTTATTGGAGCCCGCATGATAGGGTGGGGTCAGTCTATGCACACAGATGGACCCTGACTGATGATTATTAACTTTACAATGGTGCAAAAGCAATACCTATTCAGTAAAACCATACTTCAAATTTTAAATTTTGATTTTACCCAGGCTAGCCATATCAGTACAAGACTCTCATAATGCTGGGCAGGGGCAACAAGATGATTTTGCCCAACTGTAGGCTAATATAAGTGAGCTGAGGATATTTTCATGTGGTAGAAGGGGCAAGGTCTTTTCTATAAGGGCACTAATCCCATTCATGAGGGCTCCATGACCCAATCATCATGACCTAGTCATCAATCAAAGTCCCAACCTTCTAATACCATCTCAGTGAGGGTTAGGATTTCAGCATGTACATTTGGGGGGCGGGGGGGGGGGAGGACAGGGGAGGAGGCAAAAACATGTAGTTCAGCCTGACCAGTTTGGCTCAGTGGATAGAGCGTCGGCCTTTGGACTGAGGGGTCCCTGGTTCAATTCCGGTCAAGGGCATGTACCTTGGTTGCAGGCACATCCCCAGTGGGGAGTGTGCAGGAGGCAGTTGATCGATGTTTCTCTCTCATCAATGTTTCTGACTCTCTATCCCTCTCCCTTCCTCTCTGTAAAAAATCAATAAAATATATTTAAAAAAACAAACAAACATGTAGTTCATTACACTTAGTATATACCTAAATTAAAATTTTAAAAAATGTGTGTGGGTAATTT